AAAATACCCATTATAACAGATAATAATCAATTTAGTAATAATAGTTATAATAGCAATATTGATAGCATTGATAATAATAACAAAAGAATTACTGATGCTTATAAAGATAACAATCATATTGACAGTAATAAAAGAATAACAACAATAATGATGGTAGTCATTATAACAATAGTAAAAAAAAAAACTGTTGATGATATAAATATTTTTTTAATAACATAAGCACTAAAATTATAGCAATGATGATAATATCTATAAAAATGTTAATGGCAGCATTAATGATGATTATTCTTATTATAAATATAATTTCATAGTAATTATTATAATGGTTATATCGATATAAGGAAAATAATGAGCATAACGAGAAAAATTATGATAATACATTTATTACTGAGAACAATGTTATCAATGATAATGATAAGGATGACAATAATAAAGATGATAATAATAATAACAGTGATGATAATAATGATAATATCAGATATGGTTATTGTTATTATTAATGATAGAATGATAATTAAAATAAAGATAATTATAGTGAAAATAAAGAATAATAATGATACTAATTGTCAAGATTATATATAATTAAATACTCCTCATGATAGTGAAAATAAAAGAATAATAATGATACTAATTGTAAAACTTATATATAATAATACTAATAATACTAACTACTACAACTAATAATGATAATATTGGTAATAGTAATTATAATGATAATGATGATAATAACGATAATAATAATAATGATAATAATAATAATGATAGCAATAGCATTAATAAAAATGATAATAGTAATAACGTTAATGATAATAATAATAATTATAATAATGATGATAATAGTAATAATAATAATAATAATAATAATAATAATAATAATAATGATAATAACAATAATAATAATAAAATGATAACAACAACAACAATAATAATGATGATAATAATAATAATAATAATAACAATATTAATATTAAGATGAATCACGCAAATAATTATATTAATGATAATGATAACGATAATGATGACGATAATGATGATAATAATAAAAATAATAAATATTATAATGACAATATCAATAATAATGATGATGATGATAATAATAATAATAATAATAATAATGATAATAATAATAATAATAATAATAATAATAATAATAATAATAATAATAATAATAATAATGGTGATAATTATAATTATAATAACAGTAACAGTGATGATGATAGGGATAATAGTGATAATATAATAATGATATACTGTTAATAGTGATAATAATAAGTATATTGATAATGATAATTGATAATTATAATGATAATAACAATAACATTATAATAAATATGATAATGATACTGATGTTGATAATGAAAAGAATAATACTTAAGAATAATGATAATGATAATAGCAATAATGGTAAAAGTGATATCAATAATGGTAAAAGTGATGTCAATAATGATAGTAATGATAATATTAACATTAATGATAATGATTACGGTAATGATAATGATAATACTGATAAAAATGATTCTGATGATATTGATAAAATGAGGAAGATATAAGGGTACTGGTACTAATGACAAGATGATACTAATACTACAAATACTACAAAGGATAAAAGGGTAACTATGTTGATAATAATGATGATAATAATAATGTAAGTCATTTTGAAAAATAATAATGATAATAGCGATGAAGATCAGGATGGTGATGATAATGATAATAATTATGATGACAGTAAAAGTAGCAAGGATGATGCTGATAATAATGATGATGGTAAAGATTACAATATCTAATACTAATACTTTAACGATGATGAGAGAAATTATAAGGATTGTAGTCATCACCATAATAATAGCTATGATAATGATAATAATGTAAATTATAATAATGATAATAATTACTATTATAATAATAGTGATGTGAATAAAGTTAATGATAATAACAATTGTAATAACATCAATGTTAATAATAAGGATAATGGTAGCAATAAGACCAAACGTTAAAACAATAAAGGTCATTATAATAATGATAATGGTGTACATAAAAATGATGAGGAAAATAATGATAATAATGAAAATGATAACAATGAAAATGATAACAATGAAAATGATAATATTAATAATGATGATGATTATAATAACAATAATGATACTACTACTAATGATACTACTACTACTACTACTACTAATAAAAAAGATAATGATGATGATAATCATCATAATTAAAATAATATGGCAGCTGTATTGTATATATAAAGCAAAGATAGAAATTATAGTAATGATAATGAAAATAATGTTGACGTCCATAGCAGTAATACCAAAAATGATAATAATAATGACAGAATTTATCATACAACGACATATATATAAAAACATGAATGCTAATAATAATGATAGTAGTAATAACTATAATAAAGATGATAACAAAAATAACAATAATGATGATAATAATAACAATAATAATAATAACAAAGATAATAATGATAATGATGATGAATTCATTATAATAA